GCCCCGCGCCCGCCCGCGCGCGCCTCCTGCCGGTCGCCGCCGGCCCGCGCGCACCCCCTGTGGAGCTGTGTCCTGGACAGTCAAATTCACCATCCCACGCCCCGGCCAGAGCCAGCGCCTTTCCTGGTGCCGCATGCGGAGGGTGGGTGCCCGGACGTCGGGCTTGGGGAACGCGGGGGCGCAGGTCCTTGGAGCTGGCATTGCAGCCACCCCACCCCCACCGGCCCGGGTTCCCAGCCGAGGGAAGAGCTGGGAGCGCGGAGGCCGGCGGAGGGCGCTGCAGGCGCCACGGCGGGGTTAGGAAGGGGTGGGTCGAGGAGGAGTGGGGTTGGGGGGCACTGAGCTCGGGCCTGAGGCTGCACACGGGCGCCTGCATTGATGTGGCCCGCCGCGTGGTGTGCACACAGCCACTCCGGAGCGGGCTGTGGAGGGAGCCCGTTGGACTGAGGCTGCACCTGTGCACACTGAGGAGCCACAGCAGGACAGAGAGGCAGGGCCTGTCTTCCCCAGGCATGTAGACCACCACGCTGATCCCCCAGGTTCTTTGTATTTTTGTTATCACCATCATCCTCATTTTCAGACAAGGCTTCACTCCGTAGCCCAGACTGGCCTTGAACTCACAGCCATCTTTCCGCCTCATCCTGCCGAGTGCTGGGATAACAGGTGTACACCTTCACCTCGCCCTGGGATTTTTTAAAGATGCTAGGCTGAAGCGGTAGGATCACTGCGAGTTTGAGACCAGCCTGGGCTGCAAAGTGAGCTCAATGGCAGGCTGAACTCCATAGTAAGACCCTGTCTCAAAGAGACTAAAAATAAATGAATAATGAAATAAAAACGCTGTGGCCCCCTTGCCCTAAACACACTTACTGTCTGGGTGACGGAACGGACTGGTGGGGAGAGCTTGCAAAACTCTCAGTTGTCTTCAGGGTGGTGTCACATGACTGTGATCCAAGCACTCAGAGGATCCCTATGAGCTCTAGGCCAGCCTAAACTCACAGGATCTCACTATGTAGATCAGACTCGTAGTGATCCTCCTGTTTACAGCCTCCCAAGTTCAGAGATTACAGGTGGGCACTACCATGCCCAATCCCAATTGCCTGTCTCAGCATGCCCTGGGGGTGGGGCCGGCTTTGTAGGCCCAGGAATCAAACCCTCAGCCCCTGTGTCTGCCTAAACTACACAGTGAGACCCTGACTCAAAAAAAAAAAAAAAAAAAAAAAAAATCAGCTATCTATTAACATGGTTCTGCTTTATAGGGTGTCTGATAAAAGTTGCATGTTTAAAAGAAAATAGCTTTAGCTTGGTGGAATTGTACGTACCTGTCATCCCAGCATTCTGGGAGGCTGAGACAGAGAATAGCAAATTTGAGGCCAGGCTGGGCACCTTCTGGAGATGCTGTCTCAAAATAGAATAATAAAATAAATAAACTGGGGCCGCAGAGATAGCTCAGTGGTCTAAGTGCCTGCCTAGGCAAGTGCAAGGGTCTGGGTTTGATCCCCGGTACTGAATGTCATGCCAGCTGCACCAAGCCATCCACCAAGACCAGGTGTAGTGTAATCCCAGCACTGGGGAGGCTGAGACAGGAGGATCACTATGAGTCTGAGCTGCGTAGTGAGACCCTGTACTGAATACATAAATTAAAAATAATAATAAAAAAATAAAAAACATGTTGGGGATGTAGCTTGTTGGGAAGACACTATACACAAATCAATAAATCAATTTTTTTTAAATAAAGGGAAATAGCTTTGGATGGATGAGCAGTTGGAGAAGGCGGGATGTACCCCAGAATGGGGGCGGGGACAAAGCTGCCTGTCATCATACACCCTGGCATTCCCTCCCTTTTGAGGATGGACATGCATTCATTAGAGCTCTTAAGACGGTGAGAAGAGTTAGCAACTTTTTTTTTTTTTTTAATTTAGTACAGGGTCTATAGGATCTCACTATGTAGATCAAACTCGTAGTGATCCTCCTGTTTACAGCCTCCCAAGTGCAGAGATTACAGGGGGGCACTAACATGCCCAATCCCAATTGCCTGTCTCAGCACGCCCTGGGGGTGGGGCCAGCTTCGTAGGCCCAGGAATCAAACCCTCAGCCCCTGTGTCTGCCTAAGCAGGCGCTTTAATCCACTGAGCTATTGGACCAGCCCTGCAACTTTTTATTTATTTATTTAGTCTTTTTTTTTTTTTTTTTTTTTTTTTTGGTGGAACCAGGGATTGAACTCAGGCCCTTGCATTTGCCAGGGAAGCACTTATTCCACTGAGCCATCTCCCCGGCCCCTTTATTTAGTCTTTTTAAAATGTATTTGTTTGTTTTTCGGAACTGGGGATTGAACTCAGGCTCTTGCGCTTGCCGGGTAAGCACTTATTCCACTGAGCCATCTCCCCCGCCCCTTTTAAATGTATTTGATACAGGGTCTCACCACGCAGTTGGGACACCCAGTAATCCTTCTGTTTTCAGCCTCCTCTGCACTGGGATTACACGTGTGCAGCACCATGCCTGGTCTCAGTGGCCAGCTCAGCACACCTGGGGCGGGGCCAGCCGGACACGTGCTGCCAGGGATCAAGCCCCGGTCCCTGTGCTTGCCTAAGCTTAGTCTGCTGAACCATCCCACTGGCCTTGGGTCCCACTTTAGAATCTCATGCCTCTCGTACTCTCCCCACTTGATTCTCACAGATGTTGCCATATATGGTTTGTGTTTATATTTCTTTCTAAAAGACAGAGTCTCAGTGTATAGTCCAGGTAGGACTCGAGCTCACTAAGCAGCCCAGGTTGACCTCACACTTAGTGATCCTCCTGCCTCAGCTTCCTAAATGCTGGGCTGACAGCTTTCAGGCAGACTGTTCCCACACCCAGCATATGGACTTCACTTTGGAAGGTAAAGACACTGAGCCCCATCCAGCCCATTTCTCAAGGCTCCTGGGACCATTAGGTGTGTCACAACTGCTCACAGAAGGAGAAAGAAAGGAAGCTCCCACCAGCATCAGTGAAGAGGCAATAGAAACTGTCCCAAGGCTGCGGTCTCAGCCCTCAGCTCCATGCTGTGTGACCTTGGCAGAAGTGCTTAACCTCTCTGTGCCTGTTTCTTATCCATATCAGGAATGGAAACAGTCTTTAGGTAGGTGATTGAACTGTGCAGCTGTAGCTTAAGGTAACACTCCTCTGACCCCCGGGGGTGTGTGGCTGAGGGAGGTTTCACATCTGACTAGGAAGCCAACCCAAGCTAGAGTCCCATGGAGCTGGCCTCACTATGGACTGCACAGCCTTGATAATCACAGTCCAAGCCCTGGGAACACACCTGTGACAAACAGCCCTAGGGGACTAGAGCACACAGAAGCCACTAGTGCTACAAGTTGATGTGGAACGGTAGTCAGCCTGCACAGCTGGGCAGGACAGGTGCCAAATCTGTGCCACAGCTGATGGTCATGCACTCCAGGTGGCCGGATGACAGTTGAGCTGCCTAGTAGGTGGGCTGCAGGTCCTCGTACTCTAGCAGCAGCTCCCACCCCAGTCTCCTACAGCAAGAAGGCGGTGGTTGCTGGTGGGCCTGGGGCCTCGCTCTGTCCGTCCTGAGCACCCCCCCCCCCCGTGCCCCAGCTCATCCTGGCTGTGGGCGCAGCTGGATGTGGTGGGCAGGCCTGCCATGCCTGGGGCAGCCGGGCACCCTGGCCAGATGTCCTCCTCTGAGCTAGGCTGAGATCTGCTTCCTGGCTACCTGGGCAACTACAGGAATCGCCAGGGACACACAGAACCGGCAGGTGTCCCAATCACAGCTGCAGGCCCGCAGGCAGCACTTTGGGCTTGTGTGTGTCTAAACTCGCAGCAGCCGGCCGTGTCCACAGGTCTTTTCTACTCCATCCCTTCCACCTTGGGCTGCTGCCCATATTGGGGACTGCATGGTGTTTTCCATATTCTGCTGCACACTGTCCATGTCCCCCAGAATGTCCACCAGTGGGGCTGAGGTCACTGCTGTACCCCAACTCCAACTGTGAAGCCCAATATACAGTAGATGCTTGGTAGATGCCGCAGAGCCCTCAGGTGACTGCCTTTGTCCTTGTCCTCAGAGCCTCGAGGCCAGTGCTCAGATTGCAGGTGGGGAAACTGAGGCAGAGGCCGGGCCCACAACCCTCCCCACATAGACCCTGTCTAGCATGAGCTCAGCTGTGCACTGGGGAAAACACACTATGCAAGCACATCCAGCTGGGCAGGTTCTAGGTGAACTGAGGCAGGGGGAATGAAGTGAATCCCTGAAGTTACAATGGCTCCAGAGTCCCCGTGTGCACCCATTATCCTCCTGTTCCATCTCCTATGCTATCAGAACTGTCACCTGTGATACCAGATAGTGGCATCACCTGAGTTCCCAGAACCACCCCATGGGGAGAGAGGTATGACTGCCAGGGCCTTGACCGCAGGCCACAGCTGGGTCATTGCATCGTGGCACACGCCCTTCATCCCAGCCAGTGAGGCTGGGGAGGGGGATTCTCAGGTTGGAGCCTGACCCAGGCAACTTGGCAAGATGCTGTCTCAACATAAAAACTAAAAAGTGCTAGAGATGTAGCCCAGTGACAGAGCACCCCTGCCCCCTCCCATGTGCTGTGAATAAAAAGGAAATTAATATTATTGTTGCAGTGACAGTAATTGTGGAGGTAGGATAGTAACAAACACTGCGCTCTGCACTTTGTAAGCACGTTTTTATGATTCAAATTAATATTGCAGCGGTTGGAGTTCTGCTGTAATTAAAGTGGGAATGGTTGTCTTGGTGCCTGTGTGTGCAGTGAAGGTGTTGCTGAGCTCCTGGTGCCTCAGATGGGGAGGGGAGGGGATGGGCCTTCACCCAGCCCTACTATCTGTGCTCGGGACACCCAAGAAGGCCTGGTGGTGCTGGGGGCCACACCCTGCACCTCTGGGAGCCCACACAGCAGATATTCAGTGTCACTTCCAGCCCCGTGACCCACGCCAAAGACGTCTGCCCACTGCAGTGAGCCCAGGGGGGTGCCAGGGAGGTAGCTCAGCAGCACAAACACCTGCCTTGCGATCCTCCTGCCTCAGCCTCCCAGAGTCCTAGAGCGACAAATGTGCCTCATCATACCTGGCCTGGACTTATATTTTTATGTTGATGGATAAAACAAATAAGAAATGGCACAAGTTAAACTTGGCATATGCCTGTCATCCCAGCACTCTGAGAGGCTGAGGGAAGAGGATCACAAGTTTGAGCCCAACTTAGCAACTTAGCAAGATCTAGTCTCAGAATAAAAAAAATAGGGGCCAGGGAGATTGTTCAGTGGAATAAGTGCTTCCTTGGCAAGCGCAAGGGCCTGAGTTCAATCCCTGGCTCCCCCAAAAAATAAATAAATAAATAAAATAAAAAGGGGTAGGAGGATGGGGCTCAGTGCAAAGGCCTGGGCTCAATCCCTAGACTTTGACATTGGCCTCACAGCCTGGTGGCTGGGCCATCCAGGGTCCATCAGTAGGGCTGCTAAGCAGCTACAGAGACCCACGGTCCCTGTGGCTGTGACTTGGTGCCAGGTGGCTGGCTGGGGCTTCTGTGGGACTTCAAGGATGCACTCCCTGGTCTGATGGAGGCGGAGGTCTGCATGCTGGATTTGGGCGTCTGCAATAGTTCCTGGCAGGGCCAGCAGAGCCTGGCCAAGCTCTAGTCTCAGAGCTGGGACTGCCAGAGGCAGGCTCTTGCACAGTAAGACACTCTCCTCCACACCTGCTTATGGATGAGAAAACAGGCCTGCAGAGGCGGCCAGAGGGGATTGGAGTTGAGCAGAGGTGGCCTCAGAACCTGAGCCCTACTAAGGTTTGATCAGATAAGAGACCCTGAGGCCCAGCAGGGGCAGGGAGTTGATGTGGATCACACAGGACTGTCCTGTTTAGTTGTGTAGGTCACACACTGCATAAACACCACAGACTTGTGTATTTATACAAGCTCGTGGGTGGAGTAAGGACAGTGACACTGGGCAGGAGCAGGCAGCCGCCCCTCAGCTGACAGCCCCCACTTTAGAGGGTGAGCCAGACTCCAAAGAGTATCCAGCGCCTCCACACCTCCACCGGGGCTTGTGGGCCACCTTTGGGGGCCTCCCACGCTGCCTGCTGCCACACAGTTACGCCTATGCCGAGCGGATTCACGGAGGGAGATAGGCTTGCATATTTATATGGCCCAGTAGAGGGCAGTAATGGGCCCGAGGACAGGCAACAGCAGGCAGGCACCAATCATTGCGGCTGCAGCCGGTGAGTCGGGGCAAAGAAGGTAGCCAGCGCTGGGGTTTGGATCCTCAGGTCCTTGAAGGCAGAGGTGAAGTCAGTTTTTTATTTGAGAGGCATAGGGAGCCATCCATGGAAGGATTTTGAGGCAGAGAGGATCACACCTACCTGCAGAAGCTCCTCTAGGGAAACGGACCCAGAAAGTGGGCCCTGACCTTGCCTCCCCAGGCAGACTCTGCAGCCCCTGGTGTGCAGAAACTGCACCCATAGCCTCGTCTCTTTCTCTGGCCTCTGGTGGGGGGACCCCAAGTCCCTGAATACACGTGTATGCGCAGGTGTCCTCATTCATGGCCTGGATCTGGGATGTCGTGCAGCCAGATAGCCTCCAGCTGGGACTGCAGGGCATTGCCTCATGGCACAGAATTGAATGTGAAGCTGTCAGCTCGGACCAGGGTATATCACAGCTGGGCCCCAGAACCCTAGGTCCTGGGCTTTGGAGGTGAGGACAGCTGCTCCAAGTGAAGCCCAAATCAAACCAGGAACATGTTGGCTGGCTAACATGTTGGCAGACACCGTAAGTGACAGTTTTACTCAATGGGCTCCAGAACGCCCCCTCTCCTGGCTCCTTATCCTCTGAAATCCGTGCCCCATAGCTATCCCTTCTCATGTGACTGTCACATCATTATTATTACTATTATTTTTTATTTAGTGATAAGGTTTCACTAAGTCGCTAAATTGGCCAGGCTGGGTTCCCACTTGGGATCTTCCTGCCTTGGCCTCCCACAGTGCAGAGATTACAGGTGTGCGCCAGCATGCCGGGCCCGGGCTTTCATTTTGGAACCCAGGTAAGCTGGTGTCTTAGGGCTCCTCTTCCCTTTCCACTCCATAAAAGCTCCTTCCCTTCTCTCTCCTTCCCTCCACCTGCTGCAGCCTGCCTCCTGGTCACTAAGCCCAATGACATCTACTCAAATTGCTGCACACTTCCAAGCCTCAAGATGGGGCTTGCCTGAGGGACTACCTGGGCAAAGGAGCATAAAGACATGGACACCTGGGGGGGCTTTTATAGATTTTATTTTAGTGAGGCAGGACCCCAGGAGTGGGGAAGTTGCCTTGTCAGAGGTCTCTGTGGACCTCCCTCCCCTGAACCCTTTTCTGGATATCACCATAAGGTATGGCCAGGGGCTGCAGCAAGATGTCCCCAAACTGCTCACACTGGATTTGGGGAGCTGCTTTCCTGCTGGGTGGCCCCATATTGGTCTGAGCCTTTGGTTTCCAAGAAGGCACAGTTGGTGATTCTGAATAACAATCCAATGGAGGGCAGGGAGTCTTCAGAGTCTGGCCCCTCAACAGCACCTGTCTGGCTGCGGTCACTGTGCCCAGCTGGTCTGGTGGGCAAGAAGGAGCTCCTGGGAACTGCATCTAAGAGTCGCTGGCTGGAGCTGACCATGCTGTACATAGCAGTGGGTATGGTCACCACTTGGGCTCCTAGAGTCTGCTATGCCACCCTAGCCTGTGGGTGAGCTGGGGTCACAGTCCCCTCTAGGTCCCACCCCAAGCAGACTGAGTGTCACTGGACAGTAGTGAGTTTGGGGTGGATGCTGGTCACCCAAGCCAGGGGCTTTGTCTGGAGGCACAAATGGGAGCCAGCCCAGGGGACGTTTAGAGGGACTGAAAAAGCTTTCCTGCACTCTGGATGGTGTCACTATATGACAACCACACTCAAAGGTCCAGAAACGGGTATGCCCCCTGGTAGCAGGCCTGGGTCCTTGGGGAAGAAGTCTCCTACCCCAAGGCTCGGTACCCAGGGTGCCACACCCCCCACGCCTTCCAAGGCCTCCTTCCTTCAACCCTTCCAAGACGTGTCATCAGGGCACTGTGGGGCCCCCATGTGGTCCCAGGCCAGGTTGGGGACGTCTGTGGGACATAAGTTAGACTCTGCAGATGTGACAATAAATAAACTGGGGGAGGCGTGACCGGGTCCCCTGAAGCTCACACGAAGTTCTCCTCCTCTTCCTCAGACTCGGCCTCTTCCAGCTGCTTCTCCTCTGCCTCCTGTGTAGGGGCTTCTGAGGGGTGCAGAGGAGCAGAGAGTGAGCGCGGGCCCTGTGTGAGGCTCCTGTCCCGGACGCGTTCAGCACCTCACCTCTGCAGCTGCCCGCGTGGCGCACTCCAATAGAGCGGCCCAGGAAGCAGGTGGCCTGGCGCAGGTGGCACGAGGAGATGTAGGTGACATTGTTGTTGCCGCAGAGCTCCTGGCCCCGACTAGAGGGCACGGGGCAGGGAGCCGCACGACAAACCACGCAGTGCGCGCTGCCCGTCTGGTCTACGAGGCAAGACTGCGGCCGCGGGCACTCCACTCGTTCGCAGGACTCTGCGGATCGGGTGCAGGGACGCGTTACCCAGCAGAATTCCGCCCTCAGCAGCAACCTAGCCCACCCCAGGCTATTTACCAAGGCGGGTCTCTCTCACTCTACCCGCAAGCCACACCCTTTCTATTGTATCTGGAATCCCACGCCCACTGCAAGCCCCGCCCTTTCTTGCTACATCATTAAACCCCGCCCTTCTTGCACTATAAATCTGCTCTGGAGTACTAGAGGGCCACACCCCCAAAGGATGCCTGCCCCCTCTACAAGTCCAGACCCTAGTCACATTCTCTCGCCCCACCCACAAGCCCCGCCCTATTCATTGGCAGACACACCCATTACAAGTCCCGTCCCTCCCACGCTACCCACAACCTTGCCTTCTCTGTTTGCATCCGAAAAGCACACCCCACCATGTCCTTAGTGTTAATAACAAGTCCTGCTCCTCTGGCTCCACCCATAGTCCCCAAATCTGGTCCATCCCCAATCCTCCATCCCCTCTGGCAGCACCCAGGAGCCGCTCAGTCTCTCGCTTCTATTGGCGAGACCTGGCTTGAGCACTCAGCCCAGCAGCTTCGGCCCCAAGGGAGAGGAGGCAGGGGTCCTGCGCCTGGCCCCTCCCAGTAATCCGCCCTACCCAGACCCCGCTTGGCAGAAGTCAAGGAGCTGCAACTCTAGGCTTGTCGGTGTGGCTCGCCCCTCGCCCAGACTCCACCCTCCAGACCCCGCCCCAAGCGTCGGAAACGGCCCAGTGTGATAGCCCTGCCCCTGTCTGGCCCCGCCCACCCGTACTTTGGCAGTGGCCTCTGTACATGACGCGCAGGTCCGGGTGTCCGCGGCAGCGCGCAGCGCGTAGCTCACACTCGTCGCGGTAGGTGGCGCCGTCAGAGCCGCAGACCTCCTTGCGCTCCTGGAGCCCGGCACAGTCGGGCGCGCACTCGCAGCGTGGGCGGCCCCCCAGCATACGGCAGGCCTTGCCGGGGCCGCACTCCACGCCGTCGCAGGAATCTGCGGGCACAGGACACAGGCGCGTCCAAGTCGCGGTCCGGTCGTAGTCCGAGTGCGCCTGGGGCGGGGGCTCCTTTGCAGCAGGTGACGGAGTCTCTGCCCACGATCTGGGGTCCTGGCGATGCCTCAGTTTCTGTCACGGGTCTGGGTGGACGGTAGCCCTCATCCACCCCTGCAGTCTCATTCCTCAGCTAGGGAAACTGAGGTCCAGCTAGGAGAAACCTTTTGTTGCCACCCCCCCCACACACACACACATTTCAAAGCGCTGTTTATCGCATCCTCCCAAACACCATTTTATGGACTGGGAAACTGAGGCCCCGTCACAGCCATGAGTGCAGGGGACCAGGGAGCACCTCAGCTTGAGAACTCCAGGTCAGGTCCAGATGATACCAACTCTGTGCTTTGTGCAGCTGGAGCATAGGCACTGACCACTGTAAGCTCAGTTTCCCCATGAGTAGCAGGGGTCTGGGGGCTCCCACGTTAGGGGGCGAGCTAACCCTCCTAAGAGTGCTGGTGCTCTCCTAGCCTCCCACCAGGGCTTGTGGGTTGCACTTAGGCGCCTCCCACGCTGCCTGCCCAAGTGCACATCTGGAACCGCTCGGCCAAGTGGCTTCATGCAAGCAAGAACAGAAGGGGGGCCAAGTTCCCATCCCCAGGCAGATGGGGGGGGGTGTCCTGGGCCACTTCATGCCCAGGCGAGGCACATTTTGAAGTCTGTCCTCTTTCCAGAAGCAAGGAGAGGAAAAGTCTGGAGGGGGTGCCTAACTGGGACCTAGGACCACCCAGACAGGCTGATCTGGGATTAATCACATCTCAGAGCAGGGCTGGGCTACAGCAGCATGGCCCTTAGGTCCTAAGCTTCTGCTTCTGCCTCCTGGCTGTCCCTCTGCCTGAGACAGACCCTGCAAACTCCTAATCATCCCCCAACACCCTGTCAGGAATGCCCACTTCCCTCTCTGGGCCCCTGGAGGCCCAGACTTGACCACAAGGAGCCAGGAAATGTCCTCCAAACAACTCATCCTTCAGAGGCAGAGGATATATATTTGCACTCATCTGCTCTTATTGTGGTGTAGGGGATGTAAGTTTCTTAGAGCTTGGTCCAGAGAGACACAAGCCTATTCAACATGCAGAATTGGTAGGGTCACAACCCTGGTGCAGATGCTAGGAACACTATGAGCCCAGACCACCACTTAGGAAAAACCCCTTCCCAGAAGGTAGGTGTGGGTCAGGCTCATCTCCACCAGGTGGGCAGCACCATCTGGGTAAAGCTGGGGGCCCCTCAGAGACTCCTCCCAAATCCTCTGCTCGGGACCTGGGTCATAGCATGTCCTCCATGGTTGCCTTGCATCCTCCTGTGCTGGGGAGTTCACCCCCTGTTACCCCAGCTTCAATCACAGACACTAAATAGAACTGGAGTTGAGCTGAGCTCTGCCTACCCTGCTTCTGGTGGGGGCCACTCCTGGGCTGGGGGGTCCTCACCTTTGCATGGCAGACAGTGGATGAGACCCAGGAGGCCCAGGAGGTTGATCTTGTTCTCAGGTTGGGTGTAGTTAGACCAGGCAGCGTCTATGTTGCTGGAAGCGCAACACTCAGCCTGGCTCACGTCTGTCCTCAGCACCAGGCTGCAGGTGGCCTCGGGGCCCTGCCGGAGCCAGCACACCCCAGCTGTGGGCAGGGAGGGGACAGTGCCTGTGCTCCAAGCCACTCCCAGTGACCAGCCTCAGCAGCCTCGGAGAAGAGCCCTCAGTGCAGGAGGGAAGGAGGGGCACAGGTACCTTAGAGGACCCCTGCTGCCCGCTAGCCCCAGTCCCCGCCATCCCCCACCTGACTCACCCAAAGCTTGAGAGTTGGCACCTAGCCCAAGTGGTCAAATGCCAGATCGGCTGGCCCATCAGGGTCACTGGGCCTGGAGTGCTTCTCCGCCCCTGCCCACTGTCTAGACAGCGCCCGAGGGCGCACAGAGCCCCCCGGCGGGCAGCTCCCCCCCCCACCCGCCTCTTACTCACTCTAACTTGGGAACATTCCCCGAGCATGAGCTCACCATCTCCCCAGGGACTCGGCCTTCGGGGAGGGGGCTCTCTCTCCCCTGCGCCAGGCTGGGGTGCGGCTGAGGGGAGTTGGGGGGGCCGGAGGCAGAGGTCCCTCGAGTTCTTCACCCTTAAAGGGGGGCGGGGACAGGCTGTAGCCCCCACCCCATTGCTCGCCCTGGCTGCAAGACACTACTGAGGCCTTCCACAGGCCAGCTCTGGGGACCCCAGTATCTCTTTTACAAAAGGGGAAACTGAGTCAGGGAGTGAGGGCGTTCCTTGTCTCCTAGCCAGTTTCAGGTACTAGGTTCCACTCCTCAGCCTGGTCTGAGGAAGATCACAGACGCCAGCTGGAGTTTCCGGTCTAGCCACCCGGCGCTGCCTCCCTCCAGAGCCTCAGGACCCATCCAGACGGTCGGTGTCTGGGTAGGTGCCACTTACAGGCTCTGTGAGCGCGAGACTCAGTTTCCCCAGCTGGAAAGTGGGGCTGGTAGGAGTCTCCACAGGCTTGGGCTCCTCTGCCGATTTAGAAGTAGACATTAAGCGCTCAATAAATGTCAGGAGGCATCCTTGCCAACCTCCGTTCTGTCTCTGCCCCAAACCCCGCCACCAGCATCCCGGACCCCCGGCCTTGCAAACTGCAGACCACGTGTGTGGCCACCACGCCCGCCGCCCGCAGCTCCACTCACCAGGCGCGAGGTTCCCCGAGCCGACAGCGCCTACGAAGCCCACGGCCCAGGCCAGGGCACCCCAGGGCAGCGGCCACAGCGGCCCCCGCACCCGGGGACGCATGGTGAAGGCTGAGCTCGGCGCAGCGGCGGGGCGGGAGCTGCTATAAAGGTCCCGGCGCGGGCGGGGCCGGCGGCGGGGCGGGGCGGGAGCAGTGTGGAGCGCGGGATGTCCTTCGGATGGCAGGGCAGCGCCCGGGTCCCATCTGGGAGGCAGAGGTTCCCTGGGGAGATGGGGCTGGAGCTGGGGTCAGGGGCTGAACTGTGAGCTTGACTTAAACTTAATTTGGTGCCTTGGTGGATTCGAGAGGGGACGCTACCAGGTGTCTCCGTGGGCTTTGGGGGCTTAGTCTGGTTGGCTGTCTGACCAGGGGTCATGTGGGCCACCTGACCTTGTGATGGCAGGAGCAGCTAAGTGAGTGGGCCCCAAGGGCTGGGTGCAGGACTGGTGGAGAGGGGAGCAGGGGGACTCCAAGACAGCTGGTCCTGCCCAGGTGGAGAGCAGCATCTTGGCAGCAGCCTAGGCTTCCAAAGAGCCCCAGGGTCTTGCCTTTGTCCCTTGAGTCTGGGGTCACCTGGCCACACACCCAACTTTTGCAAAGGATCCCTAGGCCCCATCCACAGGCTCTACTCTTACTTTGATGTCCTGGGGACAGACTCAGCTCCATCTCTAGACCTTTTAATCTTTTATTTTGAGACAAGGTCTCTCTAAGTCACTTCACTGGCTATTGTCTAGGGCCACTTAGGACTTGTGATCCTCCTGTCTCAGCCTCCCAGAGTGCTAAGATGATGGGGATGTCTAACACAGGGCTCAGCTGTTCTGGATTTGCTCTTAGGGTTTTCCTCCTCACCCCCACCCTGGAATTCCAATTCCCTGCAGTCCTCCGCAGCCCTGGAATCCCGAGCTGTCCAAGCAGAGGCATTCCTACAATTTATGACAGTGACATTCACGTGGGCCTGAGAGGTTCTGCGTCTTCTAGGCTTCGGTGCAGCCAGCCTCTTTTCCTATTTTGGGGCTGATTCCTCCTATTGTTGGGGGCCCCAAAATGGTCATGGCGCCTTGGTTCTTTGGAGAGCCTGGTGCTCCTGAGAGCTGATTAGTGGTAGTGGGAGGGATAATGAAAGATGCAGGGGACCACGCATGACCAGGGAAGACCCAGACCAGTCTCCGGATTTGGAGGGGGCCACAGATAATGGAATGTATGGACTAATGAAGCTCTGAGCACAAAGAGTGGTGCATACTTTCAGGAAAACGTGAAAGGATGAAGGTCTTTCTTGGGAATGGCTGTGGCCAGTCCCCCAATTCCTGCATATGCCTCCTCCTCAAGTAGGGAAACCTAGGCTCCCTGGCGTCACACAGCACAGGCGGCCCATGGAGAGGACTGCTCCCCCAGCACGAGCCACTCTCAGACCTTTCCTTTGACCTCAGAGCCCCAACCTGGCCCTGTGCCCCAGCTGTGGCCAGGGGCCAAGTTACTGCCCTTGTGGCTGCGAGGAAGACACCCCACTGTCCTGACCTGGCCACGGGCCCTGGCAATCCCACAGGGATTCTCCCCAGGGTGGGACAGGAACAGGACCCTGTGTTCTTGCCCAGGGTGTGCGGGGGCTGGGTGGTATGACCTTGTCCAGAGCCTGATCCTGCCATGGCTGGGCCACACTGGTCTAAATCAAAGGGTCATTGTCCGGCTGGGCTCAGGGCCTCTCCCATCAGCTCCAGGCTTGCTGTTATTCGCCCTATCCTAGGCCAAGTCCAGAGGAACCTCAAGTAAATGATGGACTATTTGCAGGGGTCCCACTTCCCAAGACCCCAAGGAGAACTGTATGGCCTCTTCCTGCCCTGGCTCAAAGACCCTCTCAACCTCAGACCCTGCCCTGGCTCCTTCTGGCCTCTGTTGACCTCCTTACACTCTTACACCTGGCCTGGCTAGGCAGAGATGCAGTGACTTCCAGGGAAGATCCCCACCCTCAAACTGGAGGGCAGAGGTTGTACCTAAGGGAGCCTGGGGAAGTGGAGGAAGCCTCAAAGGCAAAGCACATTAAAAGTGAGACTTGCATGCTGGGAGTATTGGCACACATCTTTAGTCTCAGCATTTGGGAGGCTGAGGCAGGAGGACCACTAGCAGTTCAAGGCCCGCTCAGGCTACAAAGTGAGTTCAGGCCAACCTGAACTACATAGTGCGACCCTGCCTCAAAAAAAAAAAA